GAGTGAGTGTGGGAGCCGGGCCGAGAGGAGCCTACCATGCGCTTCCCCGTGCGGATCGCGGGAGAGCCCGGTCCCCAGCGAGCCGGTTGCAGCTGCGACCATTTATAATCCCGGACTCCTCCGCGCGCCACTTGTCACCATGACAGGTACTTCATTTCTTCTTCTTTTTTATTCAAAAAAAGAGATTCCCGTTTACTGCCTTTTTCTGTCAAATGGGATTCGCCGGACTGAACCACGTTCGCTGCTCCTCCTCCCTCCCTCCCTCCCACCCACCGCCAGGCCAGGCGGAGGTTGGGGAGACACAGGGCTCCCTCGCTGTGACCAATCAGGGCATCTACTCCTCTCGCTGCGACTCAGGGGTCATCCCTGAAGAACGCTTCCGCTGATGAATGGCTCTCGCAGGCTTTCGGCTCTGATGAGGGGTCTGACGCCGCTGATTGCAAACACTAATGAACTTGCAGCGCCGCCTGAAATTCACACGCACCCACCGAGCGCGCAGTCAGTGCGCGGGGGTCCGTCCTTTTCCTCTCCGGGCAGGAGGGGCGCCGGGGGCGGGGCGGGTAATTGCTGTGGACCTCAGTGCAAACACTTATCTGTGTCATCCCAACCGCTCACCTTCTTAGGAAACTACTTCTCTTGATCTTCCACAGGGTGGGCACTCGGGGCAGCCGAGTCAGCGCGCGGTGGGAGCGAGACGCGGCGGGGAGACGGATGCGGAGGCAGGAGGGTAATTAAGGACTTCACCCCAGAGGCCGCCATCCTGCCCGCAGCCGGGAGAGCGGCCCGCGCCTTCCCTTCCAGCGTCCTCTCCTCCCAGACCGGAAAGCTCAAAGGACCTTCGGACCCGGGAGGGGACTCTAAACACTCAGAGGTCCTTACAAGCCCCAACTCCGCAACGTCGCAGAACAAGTGTCTGCCCCTGGGTTTAAACAGGAGGGTCTCCAACCGGTGCGCACCTGCCAGGGATGCAACCTTGAAATCTACAGTCCGCTGAAGGCTCCCTCTCTTCCTCTTCCTCTTCCTCTTCCTCTTCCTCTTCCTCTTCCTCTTCCTCTTCCTCTTCCTCTTCTCTTCTCTTCTCTTCTCTTCTCTTCTCTTCTCTTCTCTTCTCTTCTCTCTCTCGCACACACACACACTAGCAGCTGAACATCACCCTTGCTGCCTTGACTTTGCTGGGGGAGGAAATAAAAGTTTGCTGCTCTCCCCAAGACACTAAACACGGCCACTTTCCACTCCCTCAGGCTCCCTGTGAAACGCAGGCTCCCGCTCCCCAGCATGCCCACCCCGGTAGTTAGAAGTCCGGGTCCGAATTTCGGATTGAATTTTGGATTGCCCGCCTGCAACTTTTCCAGAACAGCTGTGCGGCCGGGCTCTTCCTTCCGCCCCTAGAACCGGGCAGCTTTCTGTCCCAGGACCCTGGTGCTGCGGAGGGGCGTGGTCTCAGGTGCTTTGGGTGGACTAGTTGGGTGGGTCCTGCTGGGGCACCGGAGCACCCCCCCCCCCCCC